GGTTGAACCCACTGTCAGGCCACACGCAGCGTATGTTTTCGCTGACCGGGTATGGCACCGGCGATTGGCTGACCGCGATCCCCATTGAGCCCACCAGACGGATAGGCCCCGTACACTTCGCCAACGCCGTTCGATTCCGCTTGGCCCTCCCCTTTTCGACCCCTAAGAACTGCGACTGTGCGGACAAGACCGCCATCACCGATCCCCGCCTACCGAACCATCTCCTCCCACCAATCAGTGGGTCTTCTACTCAAGTTGGGCGAGGCAGCAGCAGCAGAGAACCCGCCTGTAGGCGGTATTGGACAAGAGTTACGCCTAGGGGACTGTTTTGCTGTGGTAGAGCCCCTTCTAGAGCTCTAGGGGAATAGTGGGTATGATTGGTGCTTTGTTTGTTTGTCTGTTACATCCTTACACTGCATGCCTGTACCTAGCTGCTATATCAATACAAGGACCATTAGAGAGAGAGAGAGAGAGAGAGAGAGAGAGAGAGAGAGAGAGAGAGAGAGAGAGAGAGAGAGAGAGAGAGAGAGAGAACCAATACCTGGCTCCCCGGGACCCCTCCTGGGCTGGCTTCTGCAAGGGCAACCGCCATCTGAGCGAGCGCATCGGTCGTCATCGGTGAGCCAGCGAGAGGTGCGGGAGGAGGCTGAGGCTGGAAGTCGCCCGCCCGGAATCTCCCGGGACGCTTCCGCCCCCAACGTTACACCAGCAACGGCAGTGCACGCTGAGGCTCCAAACACCACGAATGCCGTTGCACACAACACCCGCCACGCGACGCGACGAGCGGCAATAACCTGGGGACCGCCCCGGGGAGGTCGGACACCGTGGCTGCCGGCGGGACGTGGAGCTACGGGCGTAGTGGCAAGAGCGCCAACAAGCGCGGGGAGGACTCAACGGGGGGGTGGTACACGGGGAGCGCGCGGAGGGCGAGGGGGAAGGGCCCTGGTAGGGGGATCTGAGATCCCTGTGCGAGTTGGCACCTGGCGGGAACGCCACGACATACCAGAGGCGGGGGCAGCACCAACGAATGAGGAGGACGCAGCGGGCTCTGAGGACAACGGTGGCGACCCAGAATTTATGTGTGGGGACGAAGCTGAATCTGAGGAGGTGTCCCTGGAGGAGGAAACTGGGGTGGACAGGAATGCACCCAACACACGGGGAAGAGGGTCGAGGGGGGATGGGCAGAACCAACAAGCTGTGGGAGATACAGGTGGAGCAACGGATGCGACAGATGTCTTCTCGCCTACGGACATGGCGAAGGACGAGGCCATCTGGCAAGAAGCTGGGGGTTGGGATATGCAGCAACTGCAACGTAGTGACCAGCCCTTCCTTGTCCGCCGCCTACCTCCACAAATCCTAGACAAATACAGCCTCTGTCTGCTGGCGCCACTTCTGAGGCTGGAGAAGTTCCCCTCGTGCCTAGGTGCGTGGAAGATTCTTCTCTTCCTACCGAGGCTTACACTACGACCCTCTCCCGAACCAATTGTTGGGAGCCGCTGGGCTCGAATTGAGGCTCGGCTGCACCAATTTCAGCAGGGGAAATGGGAGGGACTTTTCGAGGAAGCTGGCATTATCCCCGATACCGAAGCCCCGCTACGACACCAACCGGACGACGAAGGTGTTTGTGCACGTGCCGAAGGGCTAATGAAAAAGGGCAATATCTCGAAGGCGGTTGCTGCGTTACACACCAGCCCACTCGCGGAACCCAGTTCGGCGACCCTCGCTGCACTCCGGGCGAAACACCCACATGCCGAAGACGATCTCCCAGCCTGGGTAACAGGGGTAGCAACTTCTGAGCTCGCCATCCAGATCGACGCACTTCGCGAAATCCTGGCGAAGTGCCCGAATGGGGTGGGTGGGGGGCCCTCTGGAACGTGCTTCGAGCACCTCAGAGATCCTGCTCTCGCAAATGAGGAGATATTAATTCTACTCGCCAAGACAGTTAACAATTTCCTTAGCACTTACCAGTCACAGGAGCTGCGCGACCTTGCCCTATCCTCACGCCTGATAGCTTTGGAGAAACCGGGGGGTGGGGTCAGGCCTATCGCGATTGGCGAAACATTGCTCAGAGTAGTAGCGAAAGCAGCTCTACACTCGCTCGGCCCCAAGATCCGTGAGTTCTTTCTCCCGGTCCAATTCGGCGTGGCCATCCCGGGGGGAGCGGAGTGCATCATACACTCGGTTAGAGCGCTACTACAGGAGGACGTCTCGCGGATCGCGCTGCAGCTGGACGTAGAGAACGCGTTCAACAGCGTCGAACGCAGGGCTTTCTTCGAGGCGCTGCAATGGTCTAACCTCAACCCCCTACTCCCCCTGGTCCGAAACCTCTACGACGGCCCGTCGAGGCTCCTGGTCGACCAGCGTTTTGACACTGAGTACATCTTGAGCTCCCGCGGAGTTCGCCAAGGCGATCCACTCGGCCCGCTCCTGTTCGCGGCGGCGATCCAGCCAGCACTGCTGAGTGTGGCCACTACTCTGCCGGATGTGGCGATCGTTGCCTACGCCGACGACATTACGATTGTCGGCCCGCGTGAAGCTGCCTGCCTCGCCTTCGACACGATCGCTGCGGCTTTGGGAAAAGCAGGACTGCGATGCAACATTGCCAAATCAACGGCCTGGGGGAGGAACGCGAGCGAGCAGCAGGAGAAGTTGCCGCTTGGGCTGACCTCGAACCCGGGAGGAATCAAGGTGTTGGGCAGCCCAGTTGGGACTGATGACTTCTGCACGGACCACGTACGGGCGGCGCTGGGGGAGGCGGCATCACCGCTCCTCCTCATTTCACAACTGAACCCGCAGCACGCGCTCCTTATGGTCTCACGCAGCATCTCACGGCGGATCTCGTACATGCTCCGGACGACCCCGGCTTCAACACTAAGTGCGCGAGAATGGAGGGAGTGGAGTGAGGCTCTCCTGGGCTCGGCGCTCACCGCGGCGAAACTACGGATCCCCACCTCCGAGCTTGAGCAGAGCCTGCTGTGGCGTCAGGGGACACTCCCCATCCGCCTGGGTGGCCTCGGGGTGATCGACCCTATCTCTGAGGCACCCGCGGCATACCTGGCTTCAGTCACGGCGGCACACATCCTACTGAGGCAGCTGAACCTGCCAACGGACTGCCTCCTGAGCCGGGCGACACAGCTCCTCTCCCACGAGTGGGCCCCACTACCACCTGAGACCAACCCCAGAGCCACGATGGAGGGTAACCTCCCTGCTGAAGCCCGAGCAACACTAGAGCAGTACAGGGCAGGGGGTCTGGGCACTGGGAACCTGCAGCTGGGGCTGTCCAAGTCTATCAACCAGCGGCGGGCGTTGGAACTCCTAGCAGACACACTTCAGGACCGGCCGGGGGAGGACAGGGGCCACGCCATCCGCCTCATCAGCCTCAAGGGGGTGGGTGCGGGTGACTGGCTCCATGCCATCCCAACAAGAGGAGACCTTAGCTAATCCCCTGGTCAATTCTCGATGGCCTTGGGCCTGCGGCTGGGCATGGAGCTGCCGGTCGCCGAGGTGTGTCCGTGCAAGCGGGAAAACGCGACGATTGCCGATAAGAGCCTCCCCAATCACCTCCTGCGGTGTGGGGATGGCGGGGACGTCGTAAGGACCCACCACGCCCTGGTTTTCGCGGCTCTCAGGATGGCCAGGGACGCGGGTTACAAAACGTTCCATGAGACCACGGCTTTCTCTCCCCCCGTCCTCCGAAAGCGTGCAGACCTGGCCATCCGAGACCAGGAGTCAGGGGAAACGTGGGTGACGGATGTCACGGTCACGGATCCAGTGTTGCAGAGGCGGGACAAGAGAGCCAGGAAGCCGCCTGGGTGGGCAGCGGAGGAAGCTTCCGAGGGAAAGCACAGGCTCTACGAGGGCCGCCCTAGCTACGCTGGGTTTTTTGGGCTGGCGGTAGAGACGTATGGGGCTCTGGCTAAGGACACGCAGCAGTTCATCCGTATGCTAGCCACCCATGCCGCCAAGACGAAATACAGGAAGGGACGCCTCACGACGACCGCCGCCCGACTCAATGCACACTTCAGGCAACGGTGGTCCGTGGTGCTCCAGCGCAGCCAGGCGATCTCAATCCTCTCCAAGTCAAACCGTGCAGCGGAAGCGGCTTTCCCACAGGCAGCGGCGGACCCTTGGGCACCTCGGCTGGGAGACCTTTGGCAGGTGCAGGTGGATGAGTATGAGGAGCGCCAGGCTCCAGCTAGAGCGGCTTGAGGGGCTGGGGAGAAGGGAACTCGGTGACACCGGGGGGTTGGGTGGCAGCAGGGGAGGAATACAGGGGCGTGGTGAGAGTGAGGAAAGGAATACAAGGTTTGGGAGGCTACGGGGGGGACAGGGAATTGGTGGGTGTCTGAAGGAAGGTGTGAGGAAGCTGCGGGGTGAGGAAGGATAAGGGGAGGTCTTAGGATAGGGGAGGAACAAGGGATAGGTGGAATATGGAGTTCTCGAGGACTTCTGTTGCTGTGGACCGGGCTGCTCTGAGAGCTAGGTGACCTTTGTGCTTTCGATGGATGGGCTTGCTCAGTTTGCTTGTTTTTTCTAGCTTCTTGGTTGCTTCCATGTTTTAGACAAGCTAGTCACCACCACTTGCCATGCCTGTACCTTGTGACCCATATCAATACATGACTTCTTGAGAGAGAGAGAGAGAGAGAGAGAGAGAGAGAGAGAGAGAGAGAGAGAGAGAGAGACAGAGAGAGAGAGAGAGAGAGAGAGAGAGAGAGAGAGAGAGAGAGAGAGAGAGAGAGAGATGGCCTTAGCCGTTTTTAGGCCTTCTCTAGGATCTAGTCCTTAGCCGTTTTAAGAGTAGTTTTCCTAGTATAAAGTCCCTAAATCTACCCCTGTGAGCTCATTCCTCACGTGGTGAGTTCAGTTCACTCTCCAAAAACGGCGGCTCGCGCATACGCAGCAAGGAATAGGGACGACAAGTACTATACCAACAAGTGGTACAACATGCAGGGGTAGCATCCTACAACAACAGCAACACCCCCGGGCGTGCATACGCAGCCATGGGGAAGCCCAAAGCCAGGCCCGCCACATGGGGGGCTGGCAAGGGGAAGGCATCTGCTACTCAACCAAGATCCAACAAAGCCGCCCGTCCAGCCAGCGCAGGACGGACGCGGCTGCGGCTACAAGGTCAAGCGGGTCCTCCTGAGCAGACTCGGCAAGCCGTGCCAAAGGCCCAGGGCCAGGGCCGAGGGCAGCCCCGGGGGAGCCAGGCACGAAGCCAATCAGGGGGAGGTACTGCTGCAACTCCTCCGCGGCCGACACTGCCGCTGACTGCTCCGCGGGCTGCATCGCCTCGATCTGCACCTCCTGCTGCATTAGGGTCACGTGAAGCTGGTCGAGCACGTACGACAGGAGCGTCAAGCAAGTCCCCACGTGCATCACGCGTTGCTCGACGAGAGACGGAGGCTCACCAAGAACCACCGCTGAGGGAGGAGGCAGGGCAGGAGGCGTCACCGGTCCCCACTAATGCTGCACAGGGGGACCGCCATAGGGGTACCGATGGAACGACGGCGGGCCAGGTACTGACTGAGGGTTTTGTACGTGCAGGAGAGGAGACGGAGGAGCATGGAATACCGAGGGGAGAGGCTGCTGCGGACAGAAGGGCAATGGAAAACGACGGAGTGGAGTTTGAACTGGCAGTTGCTGTGCTACCCTCGATGGGGGCTGCGGGGAGGCCTCTGGTGGCTGATGTTGATGTGCCTGCGGCGGAGACGGAGGCAATCCCGATGTCTGCTGGCGGTCCTGCCGCTGCCTTTGACGGCGGCTCTGTTTTGCCCTCTGCCATCCCGCGGGATGCACAGACGGAGGTTGAGGAGACGAGGCTGGGCGCGGATCTGGAGCTGATCGCGGAGGTGGCGCTGTCCGCGTCACCGGCACCTGTAACGCCGACTGTGCTGGTGGCAGCGGTGTCTGCTGCGATTGGGGAGCGGGGCCATGCCCCGATGGTGGAAGGCGCGTCGTCTGCCGCTGCGTGCGCCGAAACGCCTGTTGCTGTCGTGGCCGCAAGCAGGCAGGAGCACGGCCAGGCAGAGGGAGAGTTTGCGGGACCCGCGAGCGGCGTTTATTCCGGCGCTGCACGTGCGAAGTCGAAGACAAGGCTATGGGCCCAGCCAGTGCCGAGACGACCCGGAGCAGGGCTGGGACCTGGCTCCCCGGGACCCCTCCGGGGCTGGCATCGGAGCGCCATCAGAGCGAGCGCATCGGTCGTCATTGTTGAGCCAACGGGAGGTGCGCGAGGAGGCCGAAGCTGGAAGCCGCCCGCTAGGAAACACCCGTGGTGCTCCTGCACTCAATGCGTCACCAGCGACGGTGGCATACGCTGAGGCGCCCAACACAACGAACGCCATCGCGCACAACACCCGCCACGCGACGCGACGAGCGGCAATAACCTGGGGACCGCCTCGGGGAGGCCGGACACCGTGGTTGCCGGCGGGACGTGGAGCTATGGGCGAGGGGACGAGAGTGCCAACAGGCACGAGACGGACTCAGCGGGGGGTCGGTGCACAGGGAGCGCGCGGAGGACGAGGGAGAAGGGCACTGGTGGGGGGATCTGAGATCCTTGTGCGTACTGGCACCTGGCGGGAACGCCACGATAGGCCAGAAGCAGTGGAAGTGCCAATGAATGAGGAACAGACATCGGGCTCTGAAGATAACACTGGCGACCCAGAGTTTATGTGTGGTGAAGAAGCTGAATCTGAGGAGGTCTCCCTGGAGGAGGAAACTGGGGTGGACAGGAATGCTCCATACACACGTTGAAGAGGGCCGAGCGGGAGTGCACAGAACCAACGGGCGGTGGGAGATACAGCAGGAGAAACTGAGGTGACAGATGTCTTCTCGCCTTCTGACATGGCGAAGGAAGAGGCCCTCTGGCAGGGAACTGAGGGTTGGGATGTGAAGCAGCTGCAACGTGGGGACCAGCCTTTCCTCGTCCGCCGCCTGCCCCCACAAATTCTGGACAAATACTGCCTCTGTCTGCTGGCACCACTCCTGAGGCTAAAAAAACCCCCTACGTGCCTTGGTGCGCGAAAGATTCTGCTGTTCCTACCGAGGCTTACACTCCAACCCTCTCCCGAACCTGTGGTTGGGAGTCGCTGGGCTCGAATTGAGGCTCGGCTACATCAATTTCAGCAAGGGAAATGGGATGACCTTTTCGAGGAAGCCGGCACCATCCCTGATACCGACGCCCTGCTACGACACCAACCTGACGACGAAGGGGTTTGTGCACGCGCCGAAGGGTTAATGAAGAAGGGGAATATCTTGAAGGCGGTTGCTGCGTTACGCACCAGCCCACTCGCTGAGCCTAGTTTGTCAACCCTCGTTGCACTTCAGGCGAAACACCCACTTGCCAAAGACGATATCCCGGCCTGGATAACGGGAATTGCAACTTCTGAAATCGCCGTCCCGGTTGATGCCCTCCGCGAAATCCTGGCAAAATGCCCGAATGAAGTGGGTGGGGGGCCCTCTGGAACATGTTTTGAGCACCTGAGAGATCCAGCTCTAGCCAACGAGGAGATCTTAATCCTACTCGCTAGGACAGTCAACACACTCCTTAGCACATTCCAGTCTCAGGCTCTGCGCGACCTCACCCTGACCTCACGCCTGATAGCCTTAGAGAAACCAGGGGGTGGGGTCAGGCCTATCGCGATTGGCGAAACATTACTCCGTGTAGTAGCGAAAGCGGCTCTTCACTCACTTGGTCCTAAGATCCGAGAGTTCTTTCTTCCGGTCCAGTTCGGAGTGGCTATCCCGGGGGGAGCGGAGTGTATCATCCACTCAGTCAGAGCACTATTTCAGGAGGACGAAGCACGGATTGCGCTGCAGCTGGACGTAGAGAATGCGTTCAACAGCGTTGAACGCAGAGCATTTTTTGAGGCCCTGCATTGGTCCAACCTTAGTCCCCTCCTCCCCCTGGTCCGAAACCTCTACGATGGCCCGTCGCGGCTACTAGTTGACCAACGCTTCAGCACAGACCACATCTTGAGCACCCGCGGAGTTCGCCAGGGAGATCCGCTCGGCCCGCTTTTGTTCGCAGCTGCGATCCAGCCAGCCCTGCTGAGCGTGGCCACTACACTGCCGGAGGTGGCGATCGTCGCCTACGCGGACGACATCACGATCGCCGGCTCACGAGAGGCTGCCTGCACCGCCTTCAACACGATCGCGTCGGCTCTGAGAGCGGTGGGACTACGTTGCAACATAGACAAATCATCAACATGGGGACGGAACGCGAGCGGGCAGCAGGAGGAGCTGCCACTCGGGCTGACCATGAACCAGGGGGGAATCAAAGTGCTGGGCTGTTCAGTGGGGAACGATGGCTTCTCCACTGACCACGTACGGGCGGCACTGGGAGAAGCGGCGTCGCCACTCCTCCTCATCTCGCAACTAAACCCGCAGTACGCGCTTCTCATGGTCTCGCGCAGCATCTCTCGGCGGATCTCATATATGCTTAGGACGACCCCGGCATCAACACTAAGCATGCGAGAGTGGAGGGAGTGGAGCGAGGCTCTCCTGGGCTCGGCACTCACTGCGGCGAAACTTCGGATCCCCTCCTCCGAGCTTGAACAGAGCCTGCTATGGCGTCAGGGAACACTCCCTATCCGCCTGGGTGGCCTCGGAGTGATTGACCCTATCTCTGAAGCACCCGCTACCTACCTGGCTTCAGTCGCGGTAGCACACATCCTACTGAGGCAGCTGGACCTGCCAACTGAGTGCCTCCTGAGCCGAGCGACTCAGCTCCTCTCCCACGATTGGGTCCCACCGCCACCAGAGTTCAACCCCAGAGCCACTATGGAGGGTGCCCTCACTGCTAAAGCCCGAGCAACAGTGGAGAAGTATAGGGCGGGGAGTCCAGGCTCAGGGAACCTGCAGCTGGGGCTGTCGAAGTCTATTAACCAGCGGCGGGCCTTGGAACTCCTAGCGGACACCCTGCAGGACCGGCCGGGGGAGGACAGGGGTCATGCCATCCGCCTCATCAGCCTAAAGGGGGTGGGCGCGGGTGACTGGCTCCATGCCATGCCAACGAGAGGAGACCTTAGCTTATCCCCTGGTCAATTCTCGATGGCCCTGGGCCTGCGTTTGGGCAAGGAGCTGCCGGCCGTCGAGGTGTGCCCTTGCAAGCGGGAAAACTCGACCATCTCCAACAAGAGCCTCCCCAACCACCTCCTACGGTGTGGGGATGGCGGTGACGTTGTGAGGACCCACAACGCCCTGGTCTTTGCAGCTCTCAGAATGGCCAAGGATGCGGGTTACAGGACGTTCCATGAGACCACGGCGTTCTCTCCCCCGGTCCTCCGGAAGCGAGCAGACCTAGCCATTCGGGACCAGGAGTCGGGGGAAACGTGGGTAACCGATGTCACGGTCACAGATCCCGTACTACAGAAGCGGGATAAGAGAGCTAGGAAGCCGCCAGGGTGGGCAGCAGAGGAAGCCTCCCTACGGGCTCTACGAGGGCCGCCCTAGCTATGCCGGCTTCTTTGGGCTAGCGGTAGAGACTTACGGGCCTCTGGCTAAGGACACGCAGCAGTTCATCCGTATGCTAGCCAACTATGCCGCCAAGACAAAGTACAGGAAGGGACGCCTCACGACGACTGCCGCCCGCCTCAATGCACACTTCAGGCAACGGTGGTCCGTGGTGCTCCAGCGCAGCGAAGCGATCTCCCTCCTCTCCAAGTCAAACCAGGCAGCGGAAGCGGCTTTCCCACAGACAGCGGCGGACCCTTGGGCACCTCGGCTAGGTGACCTATGGCAGACCTTGGAGGACGAGTACAAATAGAGACACACCCCTGACAGGGCGGCCTGAGGGGTTGAGGGGGCCGGGGAGATAGGAACATGGTGACAGGAGGAGGATGGGTGGCGGCAAGGGAGGGATACATGGGCGCGGTGAGAAGCAAGGGGGGGTGTGCTGAGTCGGTGTGGGTCAGAGGGAACAGGGATAAGGAAGGGCGTCTCAGGGAAGGTGCGAGGAAGCGGCGGGTCGGAGGAGGATAAGGGGAGGTTGTGTGGTATGGGAGGGACAGGGGACAGGTGAAAGAAGGGGGGTTCTCATGGTCCTGAGCTACTGGGGATCGGGCTGCTCTGAGAGTTAGGGGTGCTTTAAGATGGATGGGCTTGCTCTGTTTGCTTGTTTAGTTCTGGTTCCCTGGCTGCTCCAATATCTAGGCAAGCTAGTTACCACCACCTGCCATGCCTGTACCTTGTGACCCATATAAATACATGACTGCTTGAGAGAGAGAGAGAGAGAGAGAGAGAGAGAGAGAGAGAGAGAGAGAGAGAGAGAGAGAGAGAGAGAGAGAGAGAGAGAGAGAGAGAGGCCCTAGGAGCTAGTCCCTAGCCTCTCCAGCACTCTTCAGCCTAGTATAAAGTGCTCCTCTGCAGCTAGTTCTCTTCATTGTTCGGTTTCCTTTTCATTTGTTTCTCCTAACCGAGCGGCTCGCGCTGGCCGCCGAAGGCGGCCGACGCTCGACAGCGCGGCCTTCGGCCGCGCGTGAGGGAACGACAAGCACACAACACACAGAGTTGCTCGCAAAAGGCATACAAACATGGCAAGCCCTACAGCGGCCTAGCCGCGCAAACCACTAATGGCAGAGCCGGAGCCCGCGCCTACATGCGGTGAGCTCCTAGGGCGTGAAGAACGCCCGTCAGGGAGCGCCACAGCTCCCGGACCACAAGCGTGCTTGCGCCGATCGCGGCGGCTCCAGACCCAGCACGCAAATGGCGCCGCAAGCCGCGCACAGCCTCATCAAGCGGCCCCGCTGCCGCAACGCCTCCCTCGGCGGGCGCAGCCAGCACGGGCGCCAGCAGCCCTGCAAGCTGATCGGCGGCGTCCAGACAAGACTCGCGTTGACGATCCAGGAACAACTCAGGGGGGGCCGCAGGGAGAGATGAATGTGCGAGAACCTGTATCAGAAGCAGTGCGTGAAAGCTCTCTGCGAGACGGAAGAGCTGGCCGAGGGTCGCCTCCGGAACACGGGCCTGAGGGGGTTGCAGCGCCTACGCAAGGAACTGGAATGGCTCCGCAACGGCAAGAGGAGCCGGGCCAACTGCCGTCACCGCTCCGCCTCCCACAGCCACAAATTCTACTCCCACCACGGGCGGGACTGGCGGCAGATGCAACCGCGACTCTGGAACGGGAGCAGTCGCAGCGGCGGCGGGAGGTGATGGGGCCGGAACACGGGATTGGACGAGTGCAGCAGGAGGCGGAACCTCAGGAGGCGCCGCCTGACGCTGAGCGGTATGGGCGACGGCAACGTGCGAGCTGCCTTGTGTCTGAGCAGCCCTCTCTTCACGCATCGCGGTCGTTACCGCACGTTGCAGATCCGCCATCCTCACGGGCGGATCATACGATCCTCCTCCATTGCGACCACGAGAACCCCACCAGCCACCGCGACCGCCACGGTGAGCTTGCCACTGACCCGACTGTTGATTGCGCCGGGGAGAATTCCGCCGGCGCCGGGAGGACGCCCGATCCTGTTGGGGTGCTAGAGAATGGGGGCGAGATAGGCGACGGTTCGGCGAGGGAGGACGAGACTGCGACGCTGGCTGCGTCTGCTGAGCCACGGGAGGCGCAACGGGAGCAGACGGGTCCATTGCAGGGGACACAATCAACTGCGCCGGGCCGCCAGTGGTGGCGAACGCCGGCTGCGGGGACGAGGCAGGCACAGAAGTCTGCGGCTCGGGGCCTGAAGCTGGGGGCCCAACGGGAGCTGGAGCCGGGAGTGCGGCGTCAGACCTTGACGGGCTTTCAAGTGGAGCCTGGGGAG